CGAGAAAGCAAATGTTTTTTCCTTATGTTTTACAAGGAAAATAGCGGTTTAAAATTAATTTAAAATCATGGGTCGCCATATCCACTTCTGGACAAAGTCTAAACTCGTTGAGATAAACATGCATTAAAGCATTGAGTTGTCACGCCACTTCACAGAATCTTCACTTTAATGCATATATTTTAGGCAATACTATTTTTTGACAATATGAAAAAGGACCAAAACATTTACGTATCCAGTTTGTTTAGTAGTTTCATGTTTGAATAAGATAGATAAAAATTTACATGGGAAATTCAAAATGATTATTAATGGTAGATTTGGATTCTTACCTGCTTTGCAGACAGATTTTTTAACGCGTTTACTTTTTTGAAGTCAGAGCCTTTAGATATGTTGCCTCCTCCATTCTTGGAATTTTGTGTCTCCTTTGTTCCAAATTTGGAATTTTTCTCATCCTTTTTGCTTTCAGTCACTTTTTTCTATAAAAAACAACAAAACAAATACACATTTTATTCTCTTCATACATAAAACACTGTGGTAAAAAAAAGAAAAAAATCTTTTCTGCACTTGATACGAGTCTCAATTCCATCCAAGTATAATTGAGAGATTGGAGGACAATCTCTCTAAGTGAATTTTTTCTAATTTCCAGAGAAAAGAGTTTAAAATGTCTCAAAACTACTGTTTCAACAGAGAAAACACATATTTATTGCGTATGTTTTTCTGGTGGAAAATAGTGGTTTAAAATTGTTTTGAAATTTAGATAAAAACGCATAAAAACAGCAAGTTTTGATGTCACTACCCGAAATCTTCATTTAAACGCATGTACTGAGGGTAGTACTCTATATTATTGGCATTTATTGATTACAAAAAAAAATTGAATTATATTCTTTTTCAATATTGTCGGAACATAGTGAGTAAAATTGTTTTGAAACAGAGCCAAAAACACATAGAAGCACTGCTTTTTGATGTCACTACTCCCAATCCTCATTTAAACACATGTATTTTGGACAGTACACTTTTTTGACAATATGAGAGAAGAACCAAAGCATTTTCGTTTCCAGTTAGCTCATTAGTTTCATGTTTTAAATAAAATAGACAAAAACTTACAGTCCTATTTCTGAATAAAACTTTAGAAGACTTGGAAAATCCAAAATAATTATTAATAGTAGATTTCGATTCTTACCTGCTTTGCAGACAGATTTTTTAACGCATTTACTTTTTGGTGGTCAGAACCTTGTGACGTGTTGCTTCTTCCATTCTTGGAATTTTGTGTCTCCTTTTTTCCAACTTTGGAATTTTTTTCATCAATTTTGCTTTCTGTCACTCTCTTCTATAAAAAAAAACAACAGAAACCAATACACATATTATTATTTTCATACATAAAATACTGCAATAAAAAAAAGAAAAAAAAAGGGGAAAAAATTGTTTTCTGCACCTTTTACAGGTTTCAATTTCATGCAAGTATAATTGAGTAGTTTGGAGAACAATCCCACTAAGTACTTTTCTTCTGATTTTTAGAAAAACAAGTATAAAGTTTCAAACTACTATTTCAATCAAAACAAATAATTTTTGCTCATGTTTTTCTATTGGAAAATAGTGGTTTAAAATTAATTTGAAATTTAGATAAACATGCATAAAAGCATCAAGTTGTCACGTCACTTCACAGAATTTTCATTTTAATGCATGTATTTAAGACAGTACTCCTTTCAACATAATGAAAAGAACCAAAACATTTCACTTCCAGTTTGCTTAGCAGTTTCATGTTTTAATTAAAATAGATAAAAATTCACATTACAGTTAGTGTCCCATTGCAGCATACTTAGGAAATTCAAAATACTTATTAATAATAGGTTTGGATTCTTACCTGCTTTGCATACAGACTTTCTGATGCGTTTACTTTTTGGTCGTCAGAATCTTTTGATGTGTTGCCTCTTTCATACTTGAAAGTTGGTGTTTTCTTTATTCCAACTTTGGAATTCTTATCCTCATTTTTGCTTTCTGTCACTTTCTTCTACATAAAAAAAAACAAAAACGAAATAAATAAAGACATTAATCTCTTCATGAGTAACATACATAAAATAGCGTGAAAAAAGAAAGAATTTTCTGCACCTCATATGCAGGTCTTAATTCCATGCGTGCAGAAATTTTTTAGCGTTGTACTTTCATCCACTATAAATTTTAGCAGTTAGGCATAGAAGAAAATCCTTGACAATTGTTTCCAAAAGAAATTAGCATTATTAAAAATTACGTGCTAATAGATAACACTTACTACTTTTTAAAAAGAAAAAAGAAACCCCCAACTATTTTGACCTAAGGTCCCTTTTTCCTGAGCCAAAAATATATTTTGTGAAGGAGTGAATGTGTCATCTCGAACAACTTTTGCACCTCTACTCGATCAAAAAGTTTTCAGGCGCTAAAGATTTTGAAACTGCGATGTATGAAGACAACACAAGATCAATTTCACAAAATACAAGTGCTTAGTAATACTTTAAAAAACTTTGGGGGTTCAAAGTAACATTTAATAATAGGTATGAATTCTTACTTGTTGTCGTGTTGCACGTTTCATGTTGATCCTAAAACAAAGAAATAGGTAAATAAAACATCAAAAAAGAACTTAAAAAATGAAAAAAATTGTCTAAAAATTGGACTTTTTATACCTAAGAAAAAACAAAAGTTTATGAGTAAATTTCAAAATTAATTATTTCACCTTAGCTCTTTGCAAGTAGATGGATGTAGAATGTAAATACCTGAAATATAATTTGATTAATAAATGCTGTTGTCTCTGTGTCTTATGAAAGCAAGTTACGTAAGTGATTTGAGATAGATAAATTCTGATTGTGGCTAAATGTTGAATCGATAAGTATTGTTAAATGAATGTAGATAGAATATAAAAATAAATTCATTAAGTTACGATTCCATGATGCTCGTAGAGGTGCATAGAGAAAGAAAAGGAGGTGTTTGCATTTCGGGCATCTTGGAATTTTTTCAATGACGTAGGTCCGTACAGCGACTTTTATCATCGATTTTCTTGGAAATGGTGTAATTTATGGAAAAAAGTCGTTCTATAAAAAGTGCTTTAAATTATGTCATGAGTTGGTTTAAGCAAAAAAATGGGGCATTATGGTCCGTTTTTCATACTTCGAATTCCATATTTCGC